TGGTGCTGGTGCTTGGCGGTATGCTTGGGGTTCCGTACGTTCTCATAGGTGATGTATGCCTTTGTCGAGGATGTGCTGGATGGAACGCGTGAATTGTGGGCAATTCTGCGAGAGCTCGAGGAGGATGGGATGTGGAACGTGATTGCGATGGGTATGGGCGGCATGTTGGAAGCCGCAACGAGTGTTGGGCGTGATGACAACTGAAGCTGGCACGGGGATCTGCTAAGGCTGGAAGCTATCGACTGTCAGCGAGTTACTGGTCGCAAGTCACCGATTCACTCACTGTGGATCGGGATCACTGGCGTCTGCTCCAGTAGTCACGACAGATGACAAGGGTACGCTGCTGGCCCGCTCAAGAAGGTCTACGGGATGGCGAGGAGATGCAAGCAATGTGATGTGATAAAGCTGAGCTCGACAACACTGACAATGTATGAGATACCAAGCAGACGATCAATCGGCCCTAGGAAGATTTGGTGGTCGACTCGGGGCGAGGTGTGGTGGTGTGCAGCTGTTTTGACCACGGTGTAACGGCAAAAAGATACCGGTTGGACCCTTTCCGGTGCCTCTGCTCTGATTCTGGATTCTGCCAAGCTGGTCCTCACCGTACGCTCAATTCACCTGGTGAGGTCACTCTGTCTATCCGACTGCCCCACTCTAAACGCGTGTTCTGCTGAATCCTGGGTTTTTACCCTTTGGTTCTTGACGGACATGACCGACCGGATTTGCTCGGGTCACCGTGCTGCTGACGTAACTGGGGCATCAAAGGTGACATTGAAGGGATGCTGGGCTTTGCGCTCGGATCTAGAGGAGAAGAGAGACTGGCTTCACTGTGCTAGCCGATGAAGGCGTGAGGCACTATGGCATGGTCGGAGACAAAGGTGACAAAGGTCAGGGTACCATTATCGTCGCTGACTGCCCAGCTTGAGAGGTAGTGGGAATAACGCAAGCAAGGCAGACTGTTCCTTATGAGAGCGAAGACAGCGGCAGATATGGTGCACCAGGATGCAGCCGCAGTCCGGCGACCCACCTCAGTGCAACCCATCATCACCATCACCTCGTCGTATAGCCAGTATGCCACACCGCGCTAGCGTACGCTTTATGTATAAAGCCCCTATCGTCAGCGTCCGAGGCACCGCCACAAAGCCTGCGCCCTCCGCACGCGGCTTCTATCTATCCACCGGAGCCGTACCGCTGGACCCTGAGACATTTCGTTTCCAAGATCGACGCCCAGCCAACGGCGATTAGGTAGCGACGCCTAGACAAAGAGGAAGCATTCCCGTCTCGTGCCGTGTTTGACTGGACATGCATGGGCGTCGCAGCTCGGCGGCATCTCGCTCAGCGCAGCGGTCAAGTGAGCGCGTCGACATGGAACCGGACTGCCGGAGGAACGGAAGGTTTCTCCGTTGAAGGCTGAACCTGAACTTGAAAGGCGTGTTGGACCCTGTAAAAGAGCTTCCACTTGACTTACGGTAGAGGATCTGTCTGGTGCTTTAGTCACGACCACAAAGTCCGGTACTGCATTAGCTTGCGAGCTACGCTACGGCTGCGTCGATCATGAGTGGCTGCGGATCAGCTTGGGCGACACTCGATGCGCATGCTGAAGCAGTGCAGCAGCGTCTGCACCCACGAAGGATGCATAGGGACGGAGTGAGCGATCGATCGAGACTAGGTTATATATGGACCGCTTGATGAAAAAAAGCCTTTGGAGCGAAAAAGCGAAAAGAATGCCGGTTCGGTCGGTTCGGGTCAAGCTGGGATGTCGCGGGTAACGTTAACGTTAAAAGGAGCCAGAGTAAGGAGAGTCGTAAAGTGAAAGGCAAACGGGGGGGCAAGCCAAGCCAGTCCAGGTCGGTAGTCGGTGGTCAGCCAGTCACTTGATACAGTCTGTCGGTGGATCCGATACATGCCTCTTGCATCTCTCATCCATGCTCACAGCTTGACTGGACCACCTTGACAGCGTAGCCCTGGAGTCGACCGATCAGTCAGCCCATCAAAGGACCTTGATCCTTTGACCCACTCAAGACAGTCCGGACGTTATTCGGATCAACCTCCTTTTCTTTGCACTCTGGTCCGCTCCTATCACTCGTCACAGAACCACAACCAGACGGCTCGACATCACCTGGCCTCTAGTCGTGGTGCGACCATCGAATGGGTACAAGAGACACGAACCCAGACCCAGAACTCGACAACAGACCACGAGTCCCCGATCCTCGCGTTGAATGCGTCCGTTTCGGACCCACCTGGAAGTGCAGCCAAGCCAAGATAAAGCAAAGCAGATCAGAGCACACCCTAGCAACGGAGCCATCCGATAGCCTTCCCTTCTTTCCGCATACCGAGCGGTGCATCACTCTCATCTGCTACCAGCAGAACCTATCACGACTCCACCACGACACCTGACGACTAACCACCGACACGCCCACGCCCTGTGCACGGATTGATCCCTCACGCACACACGTTTGTCGGCCTCCTTCCGGGTACACTACACATCACACCCCGCTCACACATTCCCGCGAGCGCTTCCCCGGACCCACCCAGAACGCTGTCTTGTTGGAACGCCGCGACTCACGGTGACCATCAATCCGGACGTCAATCGTTGATCAAGGTCGATTCAGCTACACCGCTCACCCGGTTGACCGAGTCCACTCATCAACAAGCCATCAGGCTCTCCTGGGGACCAAAAAACATCTGTACGTTCGACCGCTCAGACGTATCCGACCACTTTAAGAGTTCCGAACAGCTCTCCGAGCGATACCATGTCAACCGCGACTCGACTAGCCCCGCATGCCCCTTCACCCTCCTACGTCCCGAGGGGAATATCCCCCGCTGTGGGGTTGCCGCCCAAACCCCAGGTCACACACGCCGGCGGGTCAGCGCGGACCCATTCGAGATCACATTCGGCTTCGAGATTGGACACCCAGCCGCAGATGATGGCGAGGCCGATGGGATCTCCCAACTTGGGGGCGGCAGGATTAACGCCGAGGCTGCCCAGTGGGCTGGAGAGGAGTTCAAGTGGGCTCAGGAACGAAGTCAAGGGTGATCGAGCGAGCGACGCCGGCCGGGAAGCCGCCAAGGCGATATTGAAGGTGAGTCTTGGATGGGTCTCTGGCCTAGTCAATAGTCGAATAGGTCAATGTTGATCACATCCTCTCGCCCGTAGATGCTGTCATCACTACCAGCGCCTTTACCCGAGAGTCTCCCGCCCACCTTCCTGCCCACACCAGCGCCATCCAATACCGGTTCTCCCTCATCATCCTCATCGTCCACAAGCACATCTCCGGCACGTACATTCCGAGACTACGCTCGATCCACCCTCAAGCGACCCGGCTCGATCAAACGGAAGACTTCCTCTGCATCCGATTCATCCGACGAGCCCGGCGCCAACCACGGCGCGGGTATCGGTCTCGGCTTGTCCATGTCTGCCATATCGCCCGAAGCCAAGAAGCGGAAGATTGAAGGGGTCCCGAATCTTGCGAGAAGCGCGTCCACAGCTAGCCTAGGCGCCACGGGGCGTGGAACGACGCCGGTGTCAGGAGCCAGTCCTGCCATGGGCAGTAAGAGGCTGGGTCAGAGCGGCTTGCGCAACGAGGTGACGGAAGGCGGAGAACGAGAAGCGGGCAAGGAGCGATGGAGCAGGGAGCGATGGACCGAGGCAGCACAAGAGTGAGTCAAGCTTCAGCATCTCAGGCATGCGTGCGCGTGTTGATGGTATTCTGAAGATACCGCAACCGAGCGCTTCTGCTAAAGCGACACGGAGACGCATACCAGCGCGTCCCGTCCGCGCACCACAAATACACCTCAATACTACCGCATGATCCGCTCAAGGGGCTCTTGTGCCTCACCGACTCGGTTCTTCTCTGGCTCTACGCGTACTTTTGTGACGAGCAAGGCGGTGGACGAGTCCGCTCAAGCCCGTACAATGAGAGTGCGCCTCTGCGTGACTTTGTCAGGCGACAGTGGGAGAGCGAGGTGAGGAAGGCGGAGGACGACAGCGTCAGGCGAGAACATGCCAGGGCTATGGTCGGATTGATGTGGGTATACGCTGGTCTCGCATGTTACCCAACAACGGATCAAGCTGATCATCTCTGGCGCAAACAGGCATCTGATCGAGGCCGTCGTATGCTACCACCTCACGGCGGAGCAATTGGCCCATCTTTCGAAACGCGGGCGAGAGCTAGCTTCGGCGTCCACTCCCACCCACCACGGTCCATCGCCTGGCTCAACTCATTCAGCTTCTCCGCCTGGCACGGTCCCACCGCCCACGGCTTCCACGTCTTCTGGCCCGGCACAAATCTCCCCCGTCGAGCATCCCTCCTCTTCCTCATCATCCCACCACTCTCCCGAATCGCAATCGTCGTATGCTCTCCCAGCCGACCTGCTCCCGCTTATATCCACATCCACCTCGTCCTCCTCCAGGGCAGCGCAGCACCTGCTCACCTCCAGGCATCACCTATCTCTACGCCTGCTAAGGAGCTACTTCCCAAGGACGTTCGAATTCGCCCTCACCTCGGAGCTCAACGATGAAGCCCTGCCCGTCCCGGGAGACAACCTCGGTTCAGCCCGAAGAGTCGATGTCGACCATCCCGAGAGATTCGCTTGGCCTATCGAGCTGGGCATGTGTGCGCCAGTGGCTCATACCGTAGCCTTTGGCAGATGTCTGGTCGAAGAGGCGGCGGACAACATGAGCAAGGAGTGGACGAGGCGGCTCGAGTGACGAGACTCCCATCATTCCGTCCTGAGCCGTATTTCGGTCTGACCACACCTTTGTGTCATAGTGATTGTACCCTGTTATAATACGATTCTGTTGTTGTTTCACTCATGTCATGTAACATGCTTGACTCGTGTCTCGTATCGGTGCATATGTCGTCTCCATGAGCATTCTGCAGACTCAGGATGCTCACTCTGCATGCATGCAACGGAACGCTCAGACCGAAAGCGCTAGCGGCTTGAGCAAAAAGACTCCAATCGTCACCGTTTTGCCACCGGGAACAAAAAGCCATAGTAACCCCCACGGAGGGTCGAACTCCGGACCCCTCCATTTCAGCTGCACTAAAAGGCCTAGAAGTGGAATGCGCTAGCCACTGCGCTATGGGGGCTATGCATTTCGCGAACACTGTTTGCACATATAGATACACAATAAGAAGTAGTATGAATAACCAAAGTGTTTCTCGTGCTCGTTAAACGCCATGGTCATACTGTTCCCCATCATCTCCTTCGAGTGTAGAAATGGACACAGGGAGGCCGCTATGTTGTGGCTTCGTCTGCGCTGCTTTGACCGTCTGGCGGTCTTGGATGAACAATTGTTTCTGTTCGAAGTGCATGGAGTTTCCAGGCCAAGGACACTGATGTATCCCAGAGCCTCTCGCGCGCAGCGGTGTTCGGTCGACAGCGCGCTCCAGTAGTGCGCTTCATCACAGCTGAGATGATACAGCGTTCGGGAAAAGACCCTCTATACTGGTATCTGTACTATGAGCCTGATCCGATCTTGGTTGCTTGCATTTCCGAAACCCAGCTTATCAGGCGAGCTGACCTCGACCGTAAGCTGAGCGGTCCGTGACTGGCCCGACCAGTCGATATATTGTAGTTTCTGAGCTGCCGAACGCAAGCCTGTGCAGTCCAGGAGTATGGGACTGGGAGTGAGCGAAGCTGAAGGGGTATTGAGCATGTTCTAATGGTGCCCCCCGGTTAATATCGACATTTCCGCCGCTCGAGGACAAGAGACATTGACCAAAATCATTCGTTGTTTTCAAGGCTAGGTGGTTTCACAGCTACCTCTCATCCGGCTTGCTCTACTGTTTTCGTATCCCGCTCAGATCCGTCATCGGCCAGCTCAGCGACCCAAGCGTCTCCGTCGTTTCGGATAGCGAAAATACCGAACTCCCTGTTACCGCTTCCTCACCATGGTATGTCGCTCGCCGTTACTCCTCATCTCTCTCTCTCTCTCTTCGAACTTTGGCTGATCCTCTCCATGTTCGCCAGTCCGCACCCAGAGTCATCGCCGAGCTGGTCGTGACCGGCATCAGGGTCCTTGGCAAAGCCACTGCCGCTGCGGGATCCCAAGCTGTGCGAAGTGGGTGGTTGCGTTATTGCCCAGCCGTACATCTATCACCCTCTAGCCACCTACACCACCTCGTCCACCCGCGCGTCAAAGGACAGCCGAGCTGACACATATATGCCCGCACAGACTTCAAGCACAAGCCTGAGGGATCGCCTGACTCTGCTCCGGTCGGATCGGGATCTTCCAAGAACAAGATCACCAGTCAGCTGAATATGAGCTTGGACGAGGCGCATTTGATCTTGAATGTCAAGAAGGACGAGCCTATGGAAATCATCCAGAAGGTGAGTGCATCGCTTCCAGCGAGCGCGGCTGCATATTGTCCCTCCATCTCCCTCTCGGGCTCAAGCCCTGTCACGCGGTCAAACACCCTAGCTATCACTACCCGACCACCTTGTACAGTACCTTTGGCTAATGCGCTCTTGCCTTCCCCGCAGCACTACGACACTATCTTCGCCGCCAACTCTCCCCCCGCCCCATCCGCCAAGCCCGAAGCACACACCACCCCCGCCTCCGCAGCAGGCAAGAAGGCATCGCGAGCACCCACTCACAGCCATTACCTCCAGTCCAAGGTCTTCCGAGCGCTGGAGCGTATAAAGGCCGAACGCGAGGCGGAAGCCGCTCCGCCTGCGGCTGGGGAAGCACCGGCCGGTGGATCGGGGGCAGCTGGCGAGCCGGGATCAACGACGACGACCACACCGCCACCGCCTGGAAGTGGAGAATCAAGATAATATCGTTGCATGACAGAGCAGAGCATTATGCATGGTTCACCCCTCTCATCCGTCAAGACTGTGCAAAATAGCTGTAGGCGATGAAAGGTACAGCCGTTCGTATTTTCGTTTTGGAGACGCACCACCACATCGCGTGTGACGGCTCCTCACCAGGACGGTCACTTACACACGCCTAAGGCCTGCTCAGACTCAATCCCTTGATAGACCCACTACTCGCACTGGCGCTCAGGCTCATCGGCCTCAGCCCCTTGCTCTCCTCCTTCTGACCCGCAGATCCCGCCGGACTGGCAGGGGCGACAGGCGCTGAAGCTTGACCCTGACCCCTGAACGATGCCACTCTGCTGCCAAAGAAGCTTCCTATCCCGCTTCCTATCCCTCCCAAAGTATTCTTGATGTCCTGCACCGCAGGTGCCGACGAGGCCTTGGGCGCGGAAGTCGTTGCCCCTGCTTGCCGGGGCGACCCGACCTCCTTGGCGCGCGCATCTTCCCGCTCGCGCAGGCGGGATGACACTTCCGTTCTGACCCCGTCGAACGCCTTGAAGATTGACGATGAGCCCGCTGCAAAGGCTGATGAAAGCGCTTCTCGCGTGGGTCCGAGCTGTTGGTCCAGGTGGAGATCATGGAAGCCCTCTAAACCAGGCACGTTAGCACAGGAAAACCAACTAGCCCCTTGGCTTCGACTCACCAGCTAATCTCAGGCCGAGATCGGAAACCGCATTGACCTTGCCCTCGCATGGGTGCCTAGCGTTGGATCAATACCTGTAAACCCAGGATGGCTTACCACGCTGCCCACTCACCTTGGCTCGCATATGTCAAACAAGGCGGGATCCGTACATCCGCTCCAGATCTCAAACGCCGAGGTCGTCTTGAACGCTGCAACCCATTGTTCGGAAAAGGGCTGCAGGATAGGGCCCTCGCCTGCTGACGACAAAGTAAGCTTCGCCTTGCGCATAACGAGAGAGGCCAGCAAAGCTCACCGACGCCGACTATGGAGATGTCCGAAGTTTTGGCTTTTTTGAGGAACTCAGCGTACTTGATGGACGACAAGGTGGCGCAGATGTATTCTTCAAAGCGGTTACGCAGGTCATCGTCACTACCTCTGAATCTGTCCAGCTATTAGCGGCTGGTTCGATCTCGAGCGTGGTACGGACATACCCGGGACGTTGGCCCTCGGACTGAAGGAAGGTAAGATGATCAGCGCAGCACGTCGGGAGAAGAAGCACACGCACCATATCCCATGACTCTTCCACCGTTCGCACCACGTCGTCCATCCATTTCCGATCCTCAGCTGTGAGCGCGACAAGCCTCTCTAAGCGAGCGTCGGTGAAATCAAAAGTATTGTTGTCGATCTGAATGAGGCATGAGCACCATCTCCTAACGGTCCTTTCCTTTGCTTTCTAGGTACTAACATTGACCAGCAGGTCGTATTTGCAGTCTTTCTGTTGAGTGACGATCTGATTCGTCGTACCGACCAACCAGCTCTTGGCTTGCAGCATGTCAATCTGCTGCAACGGCATATACGGCTGGAAAAACGACTCCCTGCCAAACACGTGCAGGGCTGTGAGAAGTCAACGCCTCTGACCCGCGCAGCACGAACTGGACACCCACGCAGGCCCATGTATCTGAGCAGACTGGATCGATCGCTAGTTCGTAGCGAAGTCGGCCTCACTCGTGTCTTCTTGGCATCGAGATCGGGCGCTCCAGAATCACGCAGGCTCATGAGGAGGCCTGGTGGGGACAATCAGTCAAGCCCACGCAGGTAGACACGGAACTGACCAGGTATAAGCGAGACCAGGGAATACTGATATGTGCACAGTTTCTCCACCGGATATCCATACAACATGACCTGCGGCAGGTCAGATCAGTGAATCGATTCGCATGCTGTGAGGGACGCAACCTACCCGCTTTTGCAGCATGATCAGCTTCAATAGCGTCAGAGTCCTATGCCTGAACTTGTGGACCAGCTCGCGCAGGCTCGTTCCTGTGTCGATAGGTTAGTTGTACGTCTTGAACACCAGCAGCTGGAAAGTGACTCACCCATGTAGATTGCCTCTTCTCCACTCTTGCCTTCCAGACTGTTTTCCAGCCCATTGTAGAAGTCTTCCAGGATGTCAGTCTGCGTAAAGTCCCTGTAGAGCAGGTCAGCCTCGCATGGCAGCCCGCACAGGAATCTGCTCACTTTTGCGCGAAATATGCTCTCGTCACCACGCCTAGCTGGTCACTGTCCACCGAACAGGTCAGCTGGAGCCAGCAGATGGCAAATGGTAACAAACCGTATCGGGCCCTATGAACCAGACACACTGGTGAGCGAGTAAACATGATATTCGAAAGGCTCAGCTCACGAATATGGGCTGGCTGGCTATGACCACGACCGCCTTCTGGACCATGCTCCTTGTGACGTCGCTCGGACGCCTGGTCAATTCGGACGACGCGAGCTGCCGGTTGCACCTGGACAAGTGGTCAGATCAACTCGGGAATCAAGCATGACTGATGTTAAGGTCCAAGGTACACACGATATGCCAAACAGGGTCTGAGAGGAGGGCACGTCTGTCGGGACCTGTGATCCGGACGGAGAGTAGGTGCAGTGCTGTGGGCGGATAAGCTCAAGATCGAGGCAGCAGGCGGACGGCAAGGACCTACAAAGTAAGAGTAGTCTTCTTCGCTCTGAGGAAGAGAGACACGGTGAGCTGCGGTCATGACGAACCCAGGAGCTGGCTCACCATGTGAGCCCCATCGGGCAAAGCCAAGAAAGGCAGTAATTTGGCCCAGTCCTCGTCGTCCTGGATGGCGGCTTGTAGAGAAGGAGGATAAGCGAACTCGACCGTCGGTCCGATCTAGGAGGGGTGAGCTAGGGCAATATCAGCGTAGGGATCTGAGCAACTCACCAGGTGGTTAAAGTCCACCACGGCGATACCCAAGACCAGCGGGGTCGGACCCGTCCCGGCCGTGAGCAGCGTCGGAGTGATGCTGGTCGCGCTGGACACGCTGGACAACGGTGGTCGACTGGACCCGGACATGGGGGTGCTCGACCCAGCTCCGGACGCGGAAGGGTAGGAGGGGAACCTGGGAATAGCGGAGGACGTGGTCCGCCATGGGTCGACGGCGGTCCCGCTGGCGGGATTGGGCGAAGCCGTCAGGTCCACATTGTCCAACGTGTCGTCGTACAGCTCGGACTGATCGGCCGAGGTGGAAAAGTCGAAATTGGCCGATTGGACACTCTCCCTCTTGGGCGAGGAGGGCGACATGGTGCGTCTGTGGATGAAGAAGACAACAAAGTAGGGTCAAGTTGCAAGTCCAAGTCCGAGTCCGC